GCACTCCCCGTGATAGATGCGATAAAATACGCAAAGAGATGCAACATCTCTTCGCAGCGCCAGATAGTCAAGCCGATCGGAAAGCACTCGGTCGTCGACGATTCGAGCCGCTCTGCGCTGGATGCGGTCAAGTGGAAGGAGCTGGTACTGGGGAGCCCCAGCCCAGAGATGGGAACAGTATTCCATGAGCGGCCGAACCTGCGCCTTGTAAAGTTGCAGGCGGTGTGCCGGCATGAAATACTGTCCCGCTCTGCTGAGCACGCCAAGCTTTTTAGAGGCCAATTTGGCCTTCCCTTCCAAGTGACCACGAAACTGCACGTTACTCGATATGTCGACGCCGAGGATTCCGATACTGGCTGAGGCAACAAGGGGAGTGCCTTGAAACTGAGGGGATACGACAAAGGGGTTCTTTTTAGCGGTTAACGCGCAAACTTGTGTCTTCTGGGGGTTAAACTGGACTAGATTTAGTCGCCCCCAATCCGAGACTCTGTCCAGCAGAGACTCGACTTCAGACACAAGTTTGTCCCGGCACTCAGAGACGTTTTCCCGAGAAATATTGGCTCGGCCGGTGTAAAGAGCATCACCAGTGCTGTCATCTGCATAGCAATGAATGCTACGGGTTTGCAACATATCATTGATATGCAGAAGAAACAGCGTTGGCGATAGCACGCAGCCCTGTGGAACACCAGCATTAATAAGCTTGCAATCGGAGCTTGCACCGTCTACAACGACCTTGATGCTCCGATCTGCAAGAAAACTGGTGATCCAATCGCACAATTTCTCGGGAAGCCCATAGGAAGGGAGCTTCGAAAGAAGCGCTTTGTGCCAAACCCGATCGAAGGCCTTCGCAATGTCCAAACTAACGGCCAATGCCTCCCCCTTGGACTCTACTGCCTCCGCCCATCTGTGAGTTAGGTAGACCAGAAGATCACCAGCTGACCTACCACGGCGAAAACCGTATTGGCGGTCACTAATCAGTTGGTGATCCTCAAGGTACCTCATGAGCTGGCAGTTTACAATGGACTCCATTGTTTTGGAGAACAAGGAGGTGATGGCGATAGGCCGGTAGTTGGACGGGTCTGAGCGGTCGCCTTTTTTAGGGATCGGGTGGACGAAAGCCGTCTTCCATGATTTTGGGACTACGCCTAGGGAGTAGGAGTACCGGAAAAGACGCGTTAAAACCGGTGCCAACTCTGGAGCACACGTCCTCAGCACAATTGGGGGGGATTCCATCAGGCCCACTCGACTTATAGATGTCCAGGGAGAGGAGTGCTTTGCGAACCGAGCGCTGAGTGAACTGCACTTCCGGCATGGAGCACTCACACCGCGGGATGGTCGGCGGCGTACTCCCCCCGTCATCGAGAGTCGAGTTAGACGCAAAGAAAGAGCCTAGAAGATCGGCTTTCTCCTTTGCGGTGTGGGCCAGTGAGTCGTCCTCCCTGTGCAGAGATGGAAGAGATGGCTGACAGAAATTCCCCTGGACAGCCTTGGCGAGAGACCAGAATGCACGGGTTCCAGAAGGAAGACGAACTAGTCTCTCGCCAATTCTGCCTATGTGCTCTGACTTTGCCTTGGCAATGACTCTTTTGAAGGACCTAGAGGCGGAATTATACTTCTTTTTTAGAGCGCTGGTGTTTACATCCCTGGACGCTGAAGCGTCAGCCCAGGCTCGGTAGCACTCCTGCTTATAGCATGATGCTATTTTACAGGAGCGACCAAACCATGGCTGAGATTTGCCTCCAATGGGCACCACAGAGGAAGGAATAAAAAGTTCCATACCCTGAAGTACCACATCAGCGACAGAATCCGCAACAACGTTGGGATCATCCGGCGAGAAGCAAACCCGCCCCCAAGGGTAGGATGCAAAGAAAGACCGCATCCCATCCCAATCGGCTGACCTATAGTGCCAAACACGGCGGCAGCCTGCAGAATGCAACCGCGATTTCAGCGTGAGTGGCACCACACTCCGGACAAGACAATGGTCCGAGGAGCCTAAAGGGGCGTCGACGGAAATCTGATATCCGTCCGGGTGAGAGGTCAGCAGAAGGTCCAACAGGGAAGGTGCATGATCCTCCACATCTGGAATCCGCGTAGGCGAAGTAACCAGTTGTGTCAGACCATATGCCAAGGCAAAATCATGAACAGATCTCCCCGCATGATCGGTTAAACGTGAACCGAGCCATTCGGCGTGATGGGCGTTAAAGTCGCCGAGGATCACGATCTCTGCGGAGGGGATCTGCTGTAGCAACGAATCTGCAGCCATTTGGACGTGGTCGAAGAGTCGGTCTGTTTCGGCATTACCGCTATGGGACCTATAAAGGCACCCGTAGATGCGCGGATGGTCGTCGCTGTCTACGCGTAGCCAAAGGATGGACAGGTCCGAACCTTCAAGTCTGCCGAGGCGTCGAGAACAGATGTCCTCTCTGACGTAAACGCAAACTCCAGCCCGAGGCACAAAGGAGTGTTCCAGTTTGTACCCCGGGCAGGAGAGATACGAGACATCAGCCGGAGAGGACACCTGCGTCTCGGTCAGAAAGAGCAGAGCCGGCCTCGCCGTCTCTAGATGGTAGTGGACGGCGTTTAGGTTAGAGTGAAGTCCCCTGATATTGCAGAAATTCACGGACAGCGTGGCAGGGGTCGCCTTGGTCTTGTTGCTCCGTTTGCCCCGAGCAGTTTTAGTCTTGAGCGGAATATTGCCCCCCCCAGAATACGCGGGGCAGCCTGAGCACCCACGCTCAGAAGTGGAGAAACATGGTCGTGGATGCTCAGCGAGGGATTCTCCAGGGGTGCTGGTACCCTCCTGGGGTAGTCTATCATTTAATTCCGCTACCATGTTGATGGGGGGGGGGGATTTGGGCCTCCGGCCACCTGCACTCACCAGACGAAACGCGGAAACAGAGCTTCCACTTCACGCCGGTATTCTGTGAGGTCGTGGTACCACCCCGGTTTGAGCCGGCCCATACGTGCGACAGCAAAGCTGCCGCGTGGCTCTACCACTGTCACTTCATTCAAATGAAGTCCACGATCTGGATTTACAAATTCTGGATCTGGATTTAAAAACTTTTAGAAAGGCTTAAAGTTGAGCAAAACGAAATTCAGCAGCAGAATTTGCGCAATATAGAATACATAAATTAAGAGCAAAATGCTTTTTTGACAGGTTAAAAGAAGATAATCCGGAGATGCTTACTCTATCGTTTGACTGACAAAAAAATTTACCCTTACCAGAAGTCGCTGACCAATCAGCTTACTATTCTCTACAGTTATATCTTTATAATTTTATGGTTGTTAGGGGAAATTGTCATAGTAACCTGACCAAAGACAATGTGTATGCATGTGTGGACAGAAGACCGATCATCAAAAGGAGCTAATGAAATAGCATCGTGTGTAAACCATTCCCTCAATCAACTGAATATTGATGGAAAAAAATGATATAAAAAATAACTGATGGAAAAATATGCTACGCTTTTGTTTATCAAAGCGGGACATTTTTACGTATTTTAGGGATAGCGGGACACAAACCTTTAAATCGGGACCGTCCCAACTAAAGTGGGACGTATGGTCACTTTAGATACGAGGAAACTCGTATGTAACAGATATAACCATGCAAACTCTGTCACCCGTGCCATCATTATGACACATGTGATTATTCTGAAAACCTACACTTTTGAACTTAGAGTTATGAAGTGACAATTTTTAATAAATCTACAATAAATTATCAAATAACATAAGTTATTTCTAATTAGTATTTACTTGCTCTTCAGAAAAAATTAAAAAGCCAACAGCCATATCTTGTATGATTCTAAGTTCTCATTCTCACTTTTGATCATTAAAATATTGAAACAAGGGGTTCCAGATTAAATTTTGTTAACGGCGGCTATTCTCTGTTGAGAATGCATCATCATTTTTTTCATTCATCTGCGCAGGACAGGATTATATTGCCCAAGTGTACGCACAAGCACAGGCCTACCCTACTCCCTTACTCTTATATTCCGATGGATCGGTAATCCGAGACGACGGAAGAGAGATCAGGCGTAAGACTAACGGCTTTACGTGCTTCCGGAAGCACGGTGGTGAAACCCCGCCAACTTCAATAAGTTATAAATCAATATTCCGGGCTGCTACTGAGAATTTTTGTGACAGAAATATTCATAATCAATGCCGTTAGTTGCATCGTGCAGCCACTTAGCAACCATACCTAGAATTACAGATATTTTATTTTGACCGCCGCAACCATCGGCCACAAGCCGTATAAGTTTTTTTGAAAGAAGTTTTAGGCAGAAATATTGCTGCTTCTTCAAACACGGATGAGAGTCAGACGTACGCCATTACATTGCTAGCAAGTTCCGTATGTATTCACGATGCACAAAGAACGCACTTCAACATCAAGGAAGCAATTTTCTGTTTCAAGATGACAATTTTTTTTTATTAAGAGCAGTCATATGGATATCGACACAACAAAATTCACATACAAATTCCTCACAACAACATCCACATTAATATTCTACACAACAACCTCATGCACATTCTACATAGCAAAGCACACCTGTACACACACTCTCCATCTTCAGTGCCAAGTGAAATTCCTACAGAAAATACTATGAGATTGAAAACAGTGACACACAAGATTCCTTCAGCGATCTTATTAATTACATGAAATAATATGAAGAAACAAACACACACACACACACACACACGCACACGCACACGCACGCACGCACGCACGCACGCACGCACGCACGCACGCACGCACACACACACACCGGGTTTCGTTGACCTTCGTTGCTGCAATCTGGACGGCTTAGCGAATGCCAACGATCGCTCATTGGCGTGTGCCGGCGATCCGAAGCGTGGCGGTAACATCAAAGAAATCGAGCTATTCGATCGAACTCTGTTTGGACGGTCGCCGAAGGCCAACGAACGAACGCTCAGTTGAAGCAAGAGAGCGTAGCGTGTAGACGTCCAATTTGATAATTACTTGGATATTTCCCGCCATTTAGATCATGAAGAAAAACAAAGAATGGAGTAACGACGATATGTTTTTATTAATAGATTTGTATAAAGAGAAGCCGTGTCTTTGGGATCCAACAAATAATGAATATAAATTGAAAGCGAAGAGAAGTGACTGCTGGCTAGAAATTGCTAACATTCTTAATTGCGATGTCTCCATCGTCAAAAAGAAAATGGAGTCATTGTTGAATTCATTTCGACGAGAGCGGCAAAGATGTGAGGAAACAAAAAAATCAGTTAAGTACCTATTAAAGCTTGCAATACCTATACCTTTTCTTCTTCTGACTCCCATCTGACCTCCGTAAACTAAAAGGAAACCATAACCAACCCCAGGATAGAAATAGTGGCACTAGTTACACGGTGCCTTATCCCTTGATCGATTTTTTTCTTGGATGTTTATCTATACATGTATTTGATATAAAATATAGTATTGTTGAGTTAGTATTCCATAGTACAAGTCTTGAACTTAGTTTTGGGATACCTCATAGTTTGGGGCTAGCTCAATCTGTGTTATTTGTCCGTATACATTTATTTATTTATAATTTTTACGATCTGCACGGGAAGAGAAGCAGCTGGCTAATTCTATGTTTTTCTTTCACTCCCAGACAAGTATGGGAGACATTTACATTGCAATCCTATATCTATGATAACTATATATACCACCTACACAATGTGTAAACTCAAAGTACGCCAAACCGCTCGGGTGGTGACTCGGAGCCACGAAGGTTGTCAATAAATAAATAAATACGGACAAATTAGTGACAAATTACTGTGTGTATACATAGTTTCATTTCTGGGAACATATGAATTTTGAAATAAAGCTAAAACAAATATTTTAATATAATATTTTATTTTATTTCAGGTGCCGGTTTCGACGAAATTTACTGTTCAACATGGTTTGCGTTTGAAAAAATGAAATTTTTGCTAGACAAATTTAGTCCGCGTCCGACACAAGATACATTGGTAAGTATAGATAAAAAAATGCCTTCAGTTTTATGCATAACTATTTTGCCAAGGTACTTGGCCTACGGTGGAAAAATATTCCGCAAATTCATTGCGTATTTGCTCAGTACTTAAAGCAGATCTTCGTGGAACGTTCAGTAATGGAAAATATGAAGCAAGTGGGTCTTCTTCATTTATTCTTCGCCAAGAACCCAACGTCACAGTCCCACGATCATCATGATCAAAAGTTCCCCTGGGTGTATAAATACATCTGGATAGCTTGCTTTTTCTTAAAAAGTTGTGTAAATATACACAGGTCATTATTACTGTTGTAGCTCGTTCTAGTTCATGAAGCATTGGTTTTCGTAGAACGTTGAATACGGATAATAAAATTCCAAAGGCGTTTTCCACAACTCTGCGAGCTCTACTTAATCTGTAGTTAAATAGTCTTTTTACTGATCTAGACTCTTGATGTTCTGAATAAGATTTAATAATATGCTTTTGCATAGGGAATGCATCGTCGGCCACTAAGACAAAAGGCATTTACATCTGACGATACGGAAGAGCGACATCTGGTGGCAATCCTAATTCATTTCCTTGCAGTTTCTCGTAAAATTTTGTGTTTCTAAAAACACCACCATCTGAAATCCTCCCTTGGGTTCCAACATTAACATACATAAAACAGTAGTTTGCATCTAATATTCCCATTAATACAACACTGAAATCAGACTTGTAATTGTAGTAGTCACTGCCTCCATGTATGGGATTTTGTAACACGCAATGTTTGCCATCGAGTGCCCCGATACAATTAGGGAAATTCCAGTTTAGGTCAAACATATCTGCAACTTTTTTCCAATCTTCACTGTTAGAAGGCATCTGCAACAAAAAACATTAATTTATGCTCACATAGGTATTTTATTCGTTTTAATGAAAATATTGTTAATAGATTATTTTATCTTTATTTTAGAATGATTCCAATGAAACCCAGGAAAATATTATGAGCCGTGATTCAAATCATTCTGCACCTAGTACAAATAAAATATTTAAATCACCAAATAAATTACAACGACGGAAAAGTAATACGTTTGATTAACGAGCAGAAGAAGTCTATAATAATGTGCAGGAGGCTCTTAAAAGACGACGTGAGAGGGACTAAGGTACTACATTTGGAGAGCATGTTGCTAACAAACATAGATCATACAGTTTGCATACAAAGTGAGTCGTCGAACTTTTAATTAGTAATATTCTTTTTGACGCAGATATAGGCAAATATGAAAATTGTCCATTTATTACACCGACTTCTAATTATTTGCAAGAGCCATATTACATAAGTCAATCTCCAGCTCGTTCAGATTCAACAATACCGACATCGCCTTTTCCCGTTTAGCAGCAGCCATCAAGAACTCCAACACCAACGATGACATCTTTTCCCGTTCATCAGCCGCCATCAAGAACTCCAACACCAACGTTGCCATCTATTTCAGAGACATCAACTTTGACGTCTCCCTATCAGTATCAGATTTCACGAATTCCAATACTGAATTTGCCAACTAATCAGTCAATTTCAAGTACTGCATTGCCAAATTCCCAAGGTCAAGGACCATAACTGGTTAAATACTCGAAACACAGTAGTTCTGGAAGCTGTGGTTCTCGTTCTGGACCAAAAAAAGTTAATGTGCTTCGCTCATTAATTGTCAAAAGATCAAAGAATAATCTTCAAAATATACCACCCAATGAACAACACGTTTGCCGTGTAGTGGCGGTTGAGAATATCCACTACCCCATATCTTCCCGTGGGTGTCGTAAGAGACAACAGTGGGAGACAGGCAGGAGATGGGCAGCAGCATCTTCCTGATAACAGCAATGATATAATAAAAAACTGCGGTTGCCAACCCGCTCGCCAAGCGTGGCAACTATGGCAAATATCCCCCCATGAGTAACGACGCAAAAAAACGGCCCCCAGTTCCCGGCGGCCCCGCTAGTTCTATGGGCAGCTGTAAACCTCATCGTTGGAGCCACACGCAAGTGTGAGTAACGACCCAAGAGCGGGTCTTATCCGACACTATTCCGATGATATTCGCGACGTCAGTCTGAGCGAGATTAGAATGGCTCTCCAGCACCTTAAAAACGGCAAGTCCCCGGGCGAGGATGGAATTACAGCGGAGCTTCTGAAAGCGGGTGGAAAACCGGTACTTGAAGTCCTTCAGAGGCTCTTTAATTCCGTCCTCCATGGTGGCACTACTCCGGAGGCGTGGAGCAGAAGTGCGGTGGTCTTGTTCTTCAAGAAAGGTGACAACGCCCTCTTGAAGGACTACAGACCGATATCCCTTCCGAGCCGTGTCTACGTGCTGTTTTCGAGAGTCATTACGAATCGTCTCGCACGCAGACTCGACGACTTCCAGCCTCCCGAACAAGCCAGTTTCCGAAAAGGCTTTAGTACCATAGACCACATACATACCCTTCGGCAAATTGTACAGAAGTCCGAAGAGTACAATCTGCCACTTTGCCTGGCGTATGTGGACTATGAGAAAGCCTTTGATTCCGTCGAAATTTGGGCGATGCTACAGTCTCTTCAGCGGCGCCAAGTTGACTGTCGATATATCGAAATGCTGAAGTGTTTGTACAGTAGGGCTACGATGGCTATCCGAGTACAGAACCAGAGTACGAAACCTATCCAACTGCAGAGAGGTGTAAGACAGGGTGACGTTATTTCCCCGAAACTCTTCACCGCTGCATTGGAAGACGTTTTCAAGCTACTGGACTGGAAAGGATACGGTATTAACATCAATGGCGAGTACATCACTCACCTTCGATTTGCCGACGATATAGTCCTTCTTCGCTGGAGGACTTAAGCACTATGCTCAGTGACCTCAATAGTGCCATAATAGACCATAATAGTGGTCATCGACCGAATCCATAAGTGGAGTATAGATAATAAAATGATGTTTAATGCCGGTAAATGTTACGTCATGACCTTTAGCCGCAAGTTACAACCTACACATGCCACCTATACCTTAGCAGGTGTTGAAATAAAGCGCGTGTCAACCATTAAGATCTTGGCGTGACATTTGACTGCGGATTGACTTTCCATGCACACATGTCTGCCCTAGCTTCAGCATCTTACAGACGCCTAGGTTTTGTCCTACGCAATGCTCGTGATTTCAATAATCCTATTATCATCAAATTATTATTTAACTGTCTAGTTAGAAGTAAGTTAGAATTTGCTGCAGTCGTCTGGAATCCCCACGAATCCACATATGGATTGTAGATTGAAAAGGTTCAGAAAGCCTTTCTGCGTTTTTTATATAAGAAGATTTACGGATATTATCCATTTATGTATCCTACTCTTTTCTTGCTGGGAATGTTATGATATAATTCCCTTTCAGTGCGTAGAGCCAGAGATCAGATCCTAATAGCCATAAAAATTTTAAGGGGCATGGTAGATTCCCCAGAGCTGCACAATACTTTGTGTACACTTTAGTGCCTAACAACTACCTGCGTCATAGGCCTACTCGACGACACCGGCTGTTCGCCACATCCCATTGGCGCACTGTGTCGCGCGCGCAATCCCCGTTGTGTCGCATGCATGGTGCTTTAAACTCCTTAATGGAGATAGTCCCGGAATGTGACATCTTTAATGACACACTCAAGGTGATCATGTCAAACTGTCTCATGTTATGTGAAAGCCATGTTTGTTAGGTAAATAAGTTGTATGTTGTTATCACTTTATTCTGTTTTATATTATTTTATTTCCTCTAGTTATTGTTAAGTATGTTCGATCTCTGAATTGTTATTTGTTTTTGAATTATGTTAATTATGTTATATGTTTAGTTTTACCTATTAATTACTGTCATTGGCGAAAACCGTTGTAATTAATTATAAATAAATAAATAAATTGTTGGGAGCACTATAATAATAATAATAATAATAATAATAATCTTTATTTCAGACAAGAGTCCATAAATTGGTTAGTAACATAACATTATTATAGAATCGTTGTTAGTTAAATTGCTTAAAAATCTAAGAAAAGAAAAAAAATCATACATTTTAACAACAATATCAATAATTACTAAAACTTACTTATATTAAAAAAAATACATTTTATTATAATTACTTAAATTTACATTTTAATTCTTATGCATGTGAATGCGGATCCAGTGTCTTAAAAGCGCAGAGTCCCACCTATCGGCTAAGGCGGTTAAGATGCTATTAGAAGAGTCTCTAATACGAAAAAGAAGCGAGGCGCATCTCTTTCGCACTATAGCGTAAAAGTCATCGATACGTGCCTCCGCGAACATAGTAGATGCACTACAGTGACGAGCTAGTCCCATCAAAATCCTAAACGCATTGTTATATTGCACGCGCAGTGCACTATACGTCCGCTGCGTGTAACCAACCCACATGCTACACGTATAAAAAGTTTGACAGAATGCTTTGAAAAGCATTATTTTAACCTGTCTAGAGGACTTGGCGAATCTGCGAGTCGGCATGTTGCAACGTACTGCCAGTGCTCTGCGTTCTCTCTCAATATCACAGTCATCGTTCATGTTTTCAGTGAGCCAGTGCCCCAGGTACTTAAACTGAGGTACTCTTTTTATAACTGACCCACACAAAATTACAGGCGGTAAGTTAGCTCCTCTCTTAGCGTCTGCCCCAAAAATCATTAGCTCACTCTTTTTTGTGTTGTATATAAGCCCATGAGTACTAGCATATGATTCACAAATTTTCTAATTTTCTCAGTGCTCTGATCGATGGGCTCAACAACACCATGTCGTCCGCGTAACTTATGTTATTTATATTGACTCCGTCTATTGAACACCCAATACCAGTGCTGTTGAGCTCAGCGATCAACCCATTAATATATAAATTAAATAAGGTAGGAGAGCTTAATCCGCCCTGCCTTACCCCACACTCTAATCCGTATTCATCTGACATACCTGTGCCCCATCTAACGTAATTCGTTTGATGTGAGTACCAAAATTAGAACATAGTGATAATCTCTTCAGGTATGTCAGTCTCTTCTCGCAGCTTTCGCCATAATACCCTATAAGACACCAAATCGAATGCTTTGGATAAATCCAAGAAGCATGCATACACAGGGGTTCTTCTGGTCGTGTAGTACTTGACCGTCTGCTTGAGACAGAAAATTGCACTCTCTGTTGATAGTTTTTGTCGAAAACCAAATTGTGCATCATGCAAGGAGATATGTTTCTGCAGATATTTATCAAGCAGACTGTCAAGCACTTTCGCGATTACGGTAGCTAGTGATATCGGCCTGTAATTAGACACGTCTGCCGCGTCCCCCGTTTTATTTTTTATAATCGGTACATTAGACGACGTCATTTTCGGACACAGAACTTGTGCTCACTCGGGGGCGGTTCGCGCGAGACTGAGACTATGCTCGAAGTTGTTGACGAGTACGTTTACCTGGGACAAATAGTCCAAATAGGTAAATCCAACTTCGACCGAGAGGTCAATCGACGGATTCAACTCGGCTGGGCAGCGTTCGGGAAATTATGACACATCTTCACGTCAGGTATACCTCAAAACCTGATAACTAAGTTGTACAACCAGTGCGTGTTGCCAGTGATGACATACGGAACTGAGACGTGGTCCTTCACTGCTGGCCGTATAAGGACGCTCAAGGTCGCTCAGCGAGCTATGGAGAGGGCTATGCTCGGAGTTTCTCTGCGTGATAGACTCAGAAATGAGGATATCCGCAGTAAAACCAGAGTGACCGACGTAGCCCAACGGATTAGTAAGCTGAAGTGGCAATGGGCCGGCCATATAGCTCGAAGATCCGATAACCGATGGGGAAGAAAGGTTCTCGAGTGGCAGCCTCATACCAGTAGGCGTAGTGTAGAGCGACCCCCCACTAGATGGAGTGACGACCTGGTAAGACGTGCAGGAAGTCGATGGATGCAGGAGGCTCAGGACCGTGCTTTGTGGCATACCTTGGGGGAGGCCTACGTTCAGCAGTGGACTTGTAAAGGGCTGTAATGATGATGATGATGATGAATGAACAACACCTATCACCGGAAGAGAAATATATATCGCCCGAAGAACAAAACCTCGTACCTAGGATCGATCCCAGTTTTATCCAGGACAATTTCACGGATATTTCTCAAGAAGGAAACACTGATCATATAGTTTCATTTATTAATAATATCATGTCTTAGAGTCATGTCATGACATGACAAAAGTAAATGTTTAGGTTGATTTATATAATAAATGGAAATGGATGAAAACTAGAAAAATTTGTTTTAATAACTTATGAACACTTACTTGGATATAATTTTTCAGGGCTTTTGTGATAGCTTCACATACTTCTGGAACTATTGAAGATATCGTTTGTTTCGAAATCTTAAAAAAGGTATGTAAGGCGAAGGTATACGAGTCCCCAGTGGCCAAAAATCGTAATGTGACGGCTAATCTCTCCTTTACTGGAATCGCTTCACGATAATTTGTATTTTGTTTTGATATTTCCGGTCCAATACTATTTAACAACCATTCAAAATCTTGTGTAGACATTCTGCTAAAGTTGTCAAATAAACGATATTCGTTTTCTACTTGTAAATCTGCTATCATTTTACTTCCACTATACACAGTCCTATTCCTAAAATATGTGGTTGTCCACCATCTTCGCTAACGTTATTTTTTCTTGTTCTTGCTAACTCGTTTTGGTATATAAAACTAAGTGCCAATGAACGTTCGTTCGAGCAATAAATGTATTTGGATGTATTAACGAATTCCAACGAGCGTGCGGAAGCCAACGATAGCGAACGATAAATATCCATCGTTGGGCGTTCGTTGGGCCGGTCTGTACGCATCATAAAAGATACAGAGGATGTCAAGACCTCAATAGGAATTATTGGTGACATCTTTGACGATTTCGTCTTAGCGAGCTGGAAAAAAAAATCAAGTTCCATCTACCCAGAATCAGATAATATATTCACCTCGTCGAGCTTCAGGCAAGGCTGGATGTACTCCAAAATACAGCCAGTATTTTAAAACAGCCGGTTACTTCACAAAATATTGTAGCCGTTCATCGCGTACAACAACTAAATCCGACTAGCTCACGGCCGAATAATATAATTGTCAGTATCTCGAGTCAAATATTGCGTTATAATTTTATATCTGCAGCACGTCTTTAGAAGTATATAATATCTGATCAACTAAAAATTTAAAGAACGTATCACAAGATCAACGAACATCTAGGTCAAACTTTATATCGCCCAAACATAGTCTACGTTATTATATTGCATTTCTGTATAATTACGTAGTTAATTATAGTAAGATTAGGTGCTTAGTGGTAACTCACAGTAATTGATGGCAGCACGCGCTCTTAAGCGTGCATTACTCAGTTACTTCGCACGTATTTTTTACTTGTTATAAGCCAGTGCTGGACCACAGTCCAATCTGGTGGTAAGTGGTGATGCAACCTTAGCAACCTTATGTAGTATTAGCGTAACAAAAGCCTGTTCACTCTTGCCTTGAAGACGCCTAGGTTGTATTCGGACGGAAAGATAGACGCCGACAAATTATTTCACTTTAAATAAGCGATTTACTAGCTTATTTACAATGAATTCTTTAGAGTATAACAAAACGCTATTGCATAATTTAACTGTTATTCTTATCTGTTCTTAACAATACATTTAAAATGGAATCATGTTATGATAAGAAGTGAATTTCTAGCTGATTTATCATGAATTATTTAGAGCATAACAAAACACTACTGCAAAATTCTAACTCTTCTTAAAAATACACTTAAAATAGAATTTAATTAAATAAAGGAAAATACATTTCAAAAGGCGAGCAGAACTTAAAGCGCTTCCAAGATTATTCTTTTCTTATGAAATTATTAATCGAATAAAAATCGAATCGATATCGTACGATAATTACAATGGTTTGATATAGTTTTGTTTCGTTTTTGATTCCAGGTGTTGATATCTTACAAAATTAATGACAGAAATATAGAACATTATTTAGCATATTTGGAAAGTGGGTGGTTGTCGGAAGATGACATGAAGAAGTCTGATGAAGAGGAGGAAAATGTGCCTGAAAGTTACGATGGAAATGGGTTACTGAATATGTTAGAAAGTAATGAGGATGACACAGAAAACTCACAAAACCACGAAAGTGACCCTCCCTTAGTTGAAAATGAGGCAATAGACAACCAGGTTCTAGACAATAATGCCCCGCGGGACATATATTTTCAGGATTGTTAATAAACGAAAACTGATCTGGAACAAAAGAAACTTAGAATTTGATGAGTCCAAAATCACATTTAAAGGCAATTCTGATTCAGGACCAGAGTTGTCACAATTATATATCCATAAGCATGCTTTAACTACCTTTTCACAGAACATTTTATAGAAAGCGTGCAACTAAAGTTGCACACTATCTAAAACGGTACTTGCCCAACAAGCCTCACAAGTAAGGGGTATGTTTCGTGTAAGCTGCAAGGATTTGCATAAAACTACGAGGTATATTCTGGATAGGACCTTACCAAAAAACCTGAAAATGAACCACATTTGGGCTCAACCAGCAATAATGTCCTTCGTTTAGCCTGAGGTATACCAAGACAAGTCAGTCACAATGTCTATTTTGACAATTTTTATACATCTTTTCCATTGATGTATTATTTCGCAACTCAAGAAATGCTTTCAGTAGGGACAGTCCAACAAAATAGAATACCTAATTCAAAATTGCCTGATAAAAGACAATTTATAAATAAATCTATCCCAAGAGGTGCACATGAAGGAAGAGTGACAACATTTCAAAGTGTGGATATGAGTGTAGTAGCATGGAAAGACAACCAAGTTGTCACATTACTGGCATCCTATGTTGTTGCTTTGCCTTTGAATAATGTATCTAGATATGACAAGAAAAAAAGAAAGGATACAGATTCCATGCCCTAAGATCATATGTGAATATAATGCCCCCATATGGGAGGTGTATATCTAATGCCCGGGCTGCACGAGGCTAGTTTTTCAAGCTAGGATAGCAAGCTAGTATCAGTAAGCTAGCAAGCTAGTACTTCCAGCTTTGTGTAGACAAAACTAGCTTCATTTCTCACCTAGTGAACTAGTAAGCTAGTTGACAAGCCAGGACAGTTTTTAATAGGATGGAGTTCTATTTTTTAGGCTAGTAGAGCCCCCCACCACTGATTTTACTATCCTGGCTTGTGTACTAGCAACATAGTTTTTAGTTAGCTCGTAAGCAGTAACTACGCGTTTTGTTTTTCTCTGTGACGTGTTTTTGAGATTTTAAGATGCCCAAACAAAGTACGGAGATTAATTTAAAGTTCGTACAACTGTACCGTGACCACAAATGTCTGTGGAACGCCACCCTTCCAAGTTATAAAGAAGAGTGTAAATGTGATTCAGCGCTACAAAAATGTGTGACTAATTAAAGAGGATGGGTATTGATATGACTACTAAAGAGGTAAAAAGTAATATTATAAATTTAAGAACAACGTATTCTCAAAAACTGACAAAAATTGATAAATTAACCCGGTCTGGAGCAGGTTCTCAAGAAGAATATTAGTCGAATCTGCATTGGTTCCAGGAAATGCACAGTTTTATTAAACATGTACCTATGAAGAGAAAAAATAACGGTAAGATATTTGCAATCGTTTATTGTTTAAAGTTTCGAATAAGAAAATATTAATGTAAACAATGGTGTGACCACTGTAAAAAATGTTTACATATGAATATTAAAAAAAAATATACATACAATTACAATTTTAGAAGTATAAAGTAATTAAAAAGAGTACAGTGTGTTGTGTGTGTGTGTGTGCGCGTGTGTGTGTATATATGTGTGTGTGTGTGTGTGTGTATATATATATGTGTGTGTGTGTGTGTGTGTGTGTGTGTGTGTGTGTGTGTGTGTGTGTGTGTGTGTGTGCGCATGGGTGTGTGTGAATGTGTGTGTGGGTTTGTCTATTATCCGTCAGTCTGTCTGTTCGTTTAAAGTATCAAATTGGTGTTTACTACATTTGTATTGAGATCCTAACGTTCAGAAGACTTGCAGTAATCATGAAATCATTCTCGATTGCCAGAGATAAACTTTGTAAACCTTTAGTTTCTGTTCTCCAGGATAGACATTTCCTGTTTCGATATATTCACGGTCTATATCAGAGCTGGTTATACAAGTTTTACGATTTTCACTTCTCAACCAATTATGCAAAGCACATGTTGCTAATACAACTTTATCTACTGTATTTACATTATCTGCTATTGGTTTTTGAAATACGCGAAATCGGCTTGCCAATATCCCAAAGGCATTCTCCACTATACGTCTGGCTCTAGATAGTCGGTAATTGAAGACTTTCTGTGACCATTCTAAATTGTCACCTGGATAAGGTTTTAAAAGGTACGGTTTTAAAGTAAATGCGGCATCAGCAACAATGACTCCGCATGTGGTACAAGGTTATTTTCCAGTTTATTGTATATGGAGCAATTTCAAAATACACTTCCATTTTTCACTTACTCTGTGGCAACCCCAGTGACAAGTTGTAAAATAATAGCTCCCAACTATTTAGAAAAATTAAATATTCCACTTTGACTTAATCTGTGGCAACACCAGTGACAAGTTGTAAAATAAAAACGCCCAACTATTTAGCAAAATTAAATATTGTAAATTGATAATATCCACGTCAATTTCTAGTTACAGTTGTTAAATAAGACTTAATTGTGTTTGTAAAATAAATAAAAGTCATAAGTATTTTAATTAAATAGTCAAACATCGTTTGAACTTTCTGTAAGTTATTGTAATTCTTGTTATCCCTTTTATATTTTAAGATTTATCTTTTAAATTAGTGCTGTTTCGGATTTCAATTTGAATTATTTACCTGATAATTTAATTTGAGATCTGTAAGTAGACCCATAGATCTAGATATTAGCTTACTCTGTTTCTTCGGTTTTCTTTCTTCGTTTTCTTTTGCTATTTACACATAATAGTAAAATGAATACACGCAACGCCAAAACGCACCAAATGGAGAACCAACTTCAAATGGCACTTCTAGAACTTAAGGCGTCAAAGGAGCAGTGTGAGCTGTTGCTTAAAGAAAGGAATGACAACGAAAAGGGAAATAATATTTTTTTATATATATAATATATATTTTAATAAATATAATTGCCAAAAATAGTCAACTAAAAAGTGATATGGTTAAGTTGCATAAAGACTATACAAATGTTATAAAAGAAAGGGATCAGCTTCAGGGACCAGTCGATGAGTTTGACCGATGCAGCAAAGAATATAAGGAATCCCTCAGATTAATTTCTGCATTGCAGTTGCAGTTAAGTGAGGCTAATGGACAGATTTTGCAATTAAAACAATACTTAGATGAATTGAAAGTGGCCCAAACTCAAGGTCTGGTCAATGAGCTCATAGAATGTAAATCTTCAAAAACATTGCAACCCTCCACAACCATCGATTTGACTGGTGATGATGTTGTCACATCAAGAACAGCAAAAAGGATAACATGCAGTAGAAGAAAATTATAAATAATAATGTTAGGAAAGTACAAAAGTTAATTAAAACTAAAATTAATACAAAAAATTATATAAATATATGTAAGGAAGAGCATGAATTAATTAATAAACTTAAATTATATTCAATATGAAAAACTGTTATGAGACTGAAATAGAGTGTCTCAATTCAGAAGTTTTGTCGCTTAAAAACTCCTTACAAATTATCTCAAATAAATATGCATCGGCTCAGGTTGAGATTAAAGAACACATATTGGCCATGAATGATCTGGTAAAGTCATGTAAATACAATGAGGAGCGCTTTGACTCCTTAATAAAACACCAGAGTGAGAATCAACGCTCCATACCATGTTCATCGGGGACAATATGTGTAAATAGTAACTGTTTTAGTTCACCAACACTCTATGACGGTGCCATAACAAAGTATAAAAACTTAAAAAGTAGTTTAAATATTACAAAATTCAAACTACCAGTTAAGTTTTAACAATAAATTAACTACATCAGGTTTTTGAGAAATATTTTACTGATATTCCGATCTTAACCACTAAGTCACTGAATTCTTCTCCTGCCGTCGCCGAATCATTACTTAAACGAAATGTAAATGTGTGTACAAAGAATTTTACATTTCATAAAGTGTCATCAAAAGATATTGTAAAATATTTTAAGACTATTGATATTAAGAGAACCGCCGATCTGTGGGGGATTTCTGTTAAAGTTATTGCGTCTATAATAGTACAATCGCACCTCAACTATCTATTATTTTTAATACTAGTATCGAATCTGGTGTGTTTCCTGATTTAATGAAGCATAGTAAAGTAATACATTTATTCAAATCTGGTAGTACATTGGACTCTGCTTTTTTTTTATTTGGGGATGCCCATTTTCGGTCATGGAACGCCCAACAATATGCATTTATACTGAAAAGATGGGAATATTTTTGCACAAAAAAAGGTACTGAAATGATAAAAATAAAATTAGGTAAATGCGTAATTCATTAGTTTGTGGATAAAATAAAAATGTTGCCAGTCACCAATCTCATTAAAATCGATTCCATTTTTTTAATCGATTATTTATGGTGTCATTATTACAATGCTAATATTATAACTTTTCGATAATTATTATGATGTTACGATATAGGTGTAAAGCAACCGTTGACAACGGATATTTATCCAAAGCAGCCGATACGCTACCGATACATTGCTAATGAGGGCGTTAGATGTGTGATAAAATTATATTATTAAAATAATTATTTGTGATATTAATACTTTATAAATAAATAAAAGTAAATAATACCTAAGATAATAAAATCCTATTATTAATTTACAATTTAACAATCGTATTTGCACACTTTACCTACTTAGGTTGATTGTTTTAGATATAGGTAATAAATCTAAAATAAGAGAGCTCCACTTAAACGAAAAAATAATTAATAAAATATAACTAAAAGTTGGAAAAAGTGGCCCAATGTAAATCGGCCTCGCAAGCCAATGAAGAGTTTCGTAGTAACAAGCATAGATTCTACATCAAGTTAAAATACTGTTACGAGCTTAGGGTTCGTGACAATAAAAATTGCCGATAAAATTACCTAAATTAACACTTTAATTT